CAAGCAAAAAAATGCAAATGTATGTGTGCGGGGCGTGGCAGGGCTACGCGATGTGCCCCTCTTCCTGTGATCGCATGCTTAGCCAAGAGGTGGTAGAGATGACAGTCTTTCTACCGTCTTCCCCTGAATACAGCAGTATCTAGACTTGATTTAGTTAACGTACTGTGGTAATTAGCATACATTCTATTCGGGGGAAGACAGCGTAAATCTTTAGTACAACGACGATGTTTACAAGAGCATCTTCCAGACAAGCCATGCCCCTATGGAGATCAGGAGATGGAATGGGCAATCATTCGGGATGTGGGTGAGCATCCTCTGTCAGCCTGTACAGGGCCCACTGTAGCCCCTTCGAATTCTTGACCGCATCGGCAAATGGACTGCTGCTTCTTGAAAACGATATTGACGTCGCAACGTCATCTTCTCATAAACACCGAATACCTCGGCACTAAGTGAGATTCACATAGGGGCGACATTGGAGCAGGAGCATCAGCAGCACTGGAAAAAGGTGGAAGTAGAGGGTGAGTGAAAGTGCACATGGGGTTTTAACAGTCACTGTTGCAGCAGCAGCAGGTGAGCAAGGTCCATTGAGAAGGGGAGGGGAAGAATCGGAGGAGGAAGAGGAGTAAAAGAACATAATTTATGTCTTGACCATGAGCACACACATATTGTGTCTTAACTGCTGCTGCATCTGGTGGAGGGGAAAGAGGGGGTGGGGGGGGGAGTGGTAGAAGAGGCCTTGGGTGAGGTGCAGGAAGGAGAAGATGAGGGGGAGGAGGAAGAAGAAGAGGAACCTTGGGTGAGGGAGGAAGAAGGGGAAGAGTAGATTCACGGCCAGTCAACAGCAGCAGTAGGTGCAGGAGGGAGAAGGAGAAAGAGGTGGAGAAGCAGGAAAATCAGGATTAGGAAGGAGAAAAGGGGGAGGAAAGAAGGCAGGGTGAAGGAGGAGGAGGAGGAGGAGGAGGAGGAGGAGGAGGAGGAGGAGGAGGAGGACAACGAGCGGGAAAAGGATGGTGGAGAGAAGGCAGAGGGATGGACGAGGAGGAGGACCAGACAATGGCAGACAGACCATGCTTTGTCCGGTTAAGTTCAGGCCTTCTTGGGCCGTATTCTGCATGCTTTTATCCATGGTCCTGTTCTGAACCCGGAACAAGGATTAGACCAAGTTCAAACCCCGTAAGACATGAGAACACCAGCAAATGTAACTTGGTCTCACTCCTGCCAAGGCCGATCTAAGATTCATGAACTCTCCCCAGTACACTGGACAAGATAGACCAGAAGGGAGGCATAGGCTCCGTTAAGAGAACCTCTGAAGGATGGCCACATCTACTCTACTTCGCTAAAACACAGCATAACTGATAACATCCATAGACCAGGACATACTGTGGAATAAGAGAGTACTTACACTTGAACTTTCATCAAATCGAATGCAGCTATCAGTGACTGTCACAAATTTGGACAATATTCAGTCCAAACAGTCCTGGTGTGAACCCGCCCTAAGATCCAGAATTTACAAAAAAAGGCACAATTTCTGAGTCTCTCATCATCAAAGGAAGTAGAGATTAGAAGAAAGAAAAATAAATTCTGAGGACAAATGTAAAGTCCCTGCAGTACACAACTATACACACATACACAGTATTACACACACACACACAAAAAAAAAAAAAAAAAAAAAAAAAAAAAAAAAAAAATACCAAAAAAAAAAAAAAAAAAAAAAAAAAAAAAGAAAGCAATCATTTCCCAAATTCCCAGAGGAAAAAGAGTCCCTGTGGCGTACAATAATGCCCCAGAGGAAACTGAGAAACCAAAACAAAAGGAAAAAACAAAAACAAAAAAAGAGGATTCTGTCCCTCTCACCATCTCTATCTCCATCATCATTGTCATCGCCATCGCCATCGCCATCGCCATCGCCATCCCCGTAACTTACGTCTTCAGAGCTTGATCATATGCGCAGGCCGGGAAGTGAACGTAGATGAGCTGAGGAGGTTCTGGTGCCATCGCTGCGATTTTACAATGCTGGTCAAGGCTTGATCCGTGATGGTGTCTTACACTCGAATGGCACATAATCTTCCCTATGTCGAGACACTGTAGAAAGCAATTGTGAATGAGCTACCCTCTTCACCTAAATAGACTGTACAGTCATTGTTGCTATATATAGACTGAAAGTTGCCCTAAATTTCAGCTATAATGACCGTACATTCTATTCGGGGGAAGACGGTAGAAGCCCTGATATATTCATGTCAAGTACTACGGGACTGTTGTAGAGAGCGCCAGTTGATGTTCTCTGGGGTTTACCATCCATAACCCCCGACAATTTCTCTTCAGAATCTATGCTTCTTGCCCAGACAGCAGCTCACCAACCATGGCCACTCCTTAAAAGGTTGAGAATCAAGACACCAATTCCTCCCCCTGTCGTCCTCCTAGCAGGCTTCATACAACACTGTCATGTTTCAACTTTGAAGATGATGCACCCACAGTTCTCAGGAGAGTACTCAGAATCTCAGATTTCTCAGCAGAGTACTCAGAATCTCAGAGTTCTCAGCAGATTATGCAGAATCTCAGCGTTCTCAGCAGAGTACCCAAAATCTAAGAGTTCTCAGAGTTCTCAGAGTTCTCGGAGTTCTCATATTTTTCACAGTTCTCAGATTTCTCAGAGTTCTCAGATTTCTCAGATTTTTCACGTTTCTCAGTGTTCTCAGAGTTCTCAGTGTTCTCAGAGTTCTCAGAATTCTCAGCGTTCTCAGAATTCTCAGCGTTCTCAGCATTCTCAGATTTCTCAAAATTCTCAGAGTTCTCAGATTTTTCACAATTCGCGGTGATCTCAGAGTTCACAGAGTTCTCAGAGTTGCACAAAGTTCTCCTAGTATTCACACGTATCACTGCTCTCAGAGTATTCAGAATTATCCTCGGAGTGTTAATAGCTCCCAAAGTTCTCATCGTATTACAGAGTTTCATAGTGCACGACGCGCTTAGTATCAAGAGGTGTGTAGTTCTTCGTGCAACGTAACGAGAGTCTGCTGAAGGCATGCACCCTTCCTTGCATACTCAAAGTTCTCACAGTTCTCAGAGTATTCGGGATTCTCCTGAGAGTATACAAAATTCTCAGAGTTCTCAGCGCTCCCAGAATCAAGGGGTGTGTAGCTCTTCCTGCAAAATACTAACGCCTGCTGCTCCACCAATCTCGAGTCATAAACCTCACGTGCACAAAGGTTGAGAGTTCGATTCCTTCCATTCATTTCACTTACAAGAAGATCATGGCCGCTGGATTGCGCCCACAGAACTACCGCCTTCACCCGGGCAGAACGCCTGGTCATTATTGCCGCATCGGGACTGAAAATTGCTCCAAATACAGCTATAATGACCGGGTGTTCTATTCGGGTAGACGTGGCAGGGATTAGCAAATTGACAAGAGCCATTTCCAGATAGAACAAGGATGGGGCCTTGTCGAAACGCTGGCAGCTTGATGCGGAACTTTCTCATGGTCAACCAATCAACAGTCCGAGTCTGCTTGAGCTGGATAAAGTCAGGAGTGCATTGGTCTCCTGTATTCATCATAAACTCGGGCCTAAAGGCTAATTCACTACCCATCTTCTCCCGATATAGAACATAGTACGGTTATTATCGATGTCAACAGCCTGAGGACAAAGTTTACCCTGCAGTGGTAGCGTTGTTATAGGATTATCCTACAAATCCCCCCACTACATTGTGACCAATGCCATGCCCCTGCGTTTCCCCTACCACATTGTGAGCAATGCCATGCCATGCCATGCCCTGCCCCTGCATTTCCACATGCCATTCCTCCACGTGTTTCCACATGTCATTCCTCCAAGTTTCCACACGTCATTCCTGCAAGCATCCACGTGTCATTCATCCAAGTACCCACGTGTTGGGTCCTCCAAGTTGCCACTGTATCTGCTTCAGAAAAATGCCTATCGCAGAGGATAACGGTGTTACTCAAAGCATGCCATCTTGGAGGGGTGCCTTCTTTAGAAATTATGGCCAACAGCCTGGGGACAACCTTTTCCACGCAGCTGGGTTTCTCCTCCGTACGCAAGTGGTGTCCAGGAGGTTATAGGATCATTGTAGACTTTGTAGTACGAGACCTCACAGTTTTCCACGTGTAGTTTCTCGAAAACTTGTCTATCCCAGTTATAATGATCAGTTCTCAGAGAATCCCAAAACGGGGAGGGGGACCTGGGTGTTATTCGAAACGCAAGGGGGCGATTTATTCGAGATGCCCACGGGTCCTTCTTCCTGCAAAACTTGTCTATCACAGAGGATATAATGAGCCGTACGTACCCAGATCATCCCATCAAGGAGAGGAGGGGGGGGGTCCAGGGGGGACAGGGGTGTAGGGGGGGGGTGTATTCAAAACCCCGACCGCCTTCGGACCACGTTTACACTCCAGGCAGAGGTAAGGGCTACGAGTTCATCCCTACGAATCCCTGCAGCAAAAGCAATGCCATAATTTCCCCCTGGATTCCCGGGTGTCCTTCCCGCAAATTCCACCTGTCACCCCTTCACGTTTGAACGTGTCAGTCTTCTGCCAACTTCGACGTGTCCTTCCTTCCTTGAAGCCTGCACATGTCCGTCCTTCAAGTCTTGACGTGCCGTGCAGTTCCTAACACACGTCTTCACGTCGCCACAATTCATTACAAGCTTCCACGTGTCATTCGTTCAAGTCTTCACGTGCCCAACTTTCATCCTCCAACTTCCACGTGTTGCTCCATCGAGTCTCCACGTGCCCATCTTTCAAGTCTCTTGTACGTTCCGCACAGTTCCTCACCAGTCTTTCTTTTACGTGCCGTTCTTCGCAAGCTTCCACGCGTCGTCGCTAAACAAGCCTCCACGTGCCCATCCTTTCATCCCTCCAACTTCCACGCGTCGTTTCCATGAAGTCTCCGCGTGGCCGTTTCCCTTCACGTTGCCACGTGCCATGCAGGTCCTTAACAAGTCTTGACGTGCCATTCTTCACAAGCTTCCACGTGTCATTCCTCTAAAAGTTCTAGATCTCAGAGGATGATGATCGGTAGTACTGAGCGCATCCTATCAAGGAGGAGGCTTTATTCGAAAAGCCAACAGCCTGAGGACAACGTTGACCCTGCCATATCTAGACTTCTTGGCGCCTCCATCTATGTCTAGCCATATGTTGTGAGCATTGCCATGCCTCAGCTCCCCGAGGTCGTATCTGCATGTGCCTATCATCTCGTCACTGCGTGTGCGGTTCCTGTTCCACACTTGGATGTTGAGCTGCCGTCGTTTGTCCTCTTTGGTAAGGACAAAGTCGCAAATCTCGTTGAAGATAGGGTTAAGAGTGAGCTTCTGCCAGCTGCTGCGCCAGGAGGTGGTGCCAATGACAACAACACAGTAGGGATCTGGAGACGGGATCATGAACTTGAACTTGACCTCTGCTCTGACTAGCCTCAGATGGAGGATATCTACGACAGGGGTCCGGGAAAGCTTGGGAGAATGAGGGGATTTGGGACGACCCTTGGTAGAGTACGAAAGTGGGGAGCTGGAGGAAGAGGAGGGGGTGGTCAGGCCTCCTCCAGGAACAGCAAGCAACGCTGCGGAAGGGTTGGCACCCCCACCCCCACCCCCACCCCCACCTGCAGCTGCTGCACCTCCCGCTGAGTTCCAAGCCTGGCCCTCTACACCTCTTCTGTGATCATCGTCGTAGTGGTCATGCCTGCTTCGCTGTTGACCACCACCACCAATGCTTCGACCTTCGTCCTCCGAGGATTCGTCATCGCTGGACGAATCGTCAATGACTTGCTCCAGCAACTGCAGCACTGTGCCAACCCTGATGCGTCCGGAGTCTTCCCTGGGGCCGACAAGTTTGTACCAGCACACGTTGGAGGTCACTACAGTTCCGTGGGTTTGGGAGGAAGGGGGAGATGACGCTGCGGTGGTGGGAGAGGAGGGTCCTGCTGCCGTCTCTCTCCCCGCACCTCCTCCTCTCCCCTCTCCCGTCCCCTCACGATCACTTTCCCCCTCCCCCGCTGCACCCCCAACCCCGCCTCCTCCACCTCGACTCCCACCTTGGGGGCTTGTTGAGCCCGCCGTGACCTTCTGCCCGCCAACTGCACCTCCACCAACCCCCCCTCCACCTGGGGGGTTACCCCCCTTCTGGCTGATTAGATCCACGGCTCGCAGCTTTAACTCCCCCAGCAGCTCGGGTTTGGTCATCAGGTTGTGATGGAACACGTTGAGGACGATTTCGTCGTTGTCGACGTCAGGCACCACTAGCTCGAAGGTTTCCCACCACCAAGGAGCTCGCGTGTTCTCCATCCTCTTGGTCTGGAATTTGGTCCTGGTTTGCCCTTGGGTCCTCAGCGAGACCACGCAGAAGGGGCGGATCTCGCCAAAGGTGTCAACATTCGGAAGATGGTCCCCCTCCACCACCTGCACCGTGGCCAGACCCACCCTCCCCCCCCTGACCCCCGGTTCCACCCCTCCATCCATAGCCAGCACGGCAATTTGCTTACCCTTTTCTCTCGTCGATCCCCTGTTGACCGACCGCCGATCACTGACCAAGGTTTTGCCCGACTTCCCAAGCCTGACCATCTCCGAAAAACACATCTAGATGTGTATAAGAGACAGGTGTGTGTGTGTGTGTGTGTGTGTGTGTGTGTGTGCGTGTGTGCGTGTGTNCCTGTTGACCGACCGCCGATCACTGACCAAGGTTTTGCCCGACTTCCCAAGCCTGACCATCTCCGAAAATCGACCTTTCGTGGGCTTCGAACCCCCCCCACCCCCGCCCCCGCCCCCCCCATGGTTATTCGTAACATACCACTCTTGGAACGGACACTCCACCGGGTTGTTCACCATCCAATCGTTTATCGCCTTATCTAGAAGCCCCTTTAGCCATTTGCTAAGCACAGGGATCTCTGTCAAGTTGAGCTTGGTGGACAACTCGTGCAGTGAGAACTGGTGATGAGGCTTCCGGGTGAACTGCCAGGCCAGGAGGCCCACATACGGCATCTCCCTCATCAGGTGAGCTCGCACCCGTAGGTCGCAGTTGAGCCGTTTCAACTTAATGCCCACAGGAACACGGACGCTGGCCCCCATGACCGTTCTCACCTTTATGGACAAATTGGCCAGCACGCTGTCCTTCAGTGACCCGGCAAGGTCGAACTCCAGCGAATCCGAGGGTGGGAAAGAGTGAAGCCTGATCCCTCTTAGGTAGGGCACAGATCCTAGTCGAACCTCATCGACTCGGATGGACTCAATGGTGTCCGGTTTATAAAGGTTAAGGTTGGTGGTCATGAGCTCCTGCAGCCAATTCTCCCATTCCCTACCGAAGAACCCCCACAGCACAGCGATGGTCCTCGACAACCACTCACAAGATTCGTAGGGCCCAACGTCGTACAACGAGTTATCTCCCCCCAGGTCGCTGAGCCCATCCCCCTCTTCACCCTCCTCCTCCCCCCCTCCTCCTCCTCCTCCTCCTGCATCGTAGGCCATCTCTCCCACTCTCACCTTGGTCCCACAGATGTGGCACACCGTCAAACCACCTCCTGGCCCCCACGGCTTCCATCTGGGTTGTCCATATCGCAGACGGTCCAGGGCGTGCACGCCATACACGAATAACAACAGCCACAGAGGATGGTAGCGTAGCACCCCGAAGAGATAGGACAAGCAGACCAGCAATCCTATCAGGCCGGTCACTATAGTCTTCCAACGAGGGAGAGTGATGCGTGGGATTGTGAAGGACGAACGCCTACCAGTATGAGCCTTCCGGGGGGGCGATGGTGCCGGACGGCGATCGGTCAACGAGGAAGGGGGCCAGGCTGAGGAAGGGGGACTGTCATCGAAAGCCAGTGTTCTCGATGGCCCCGTTGATGCCTCTCTACTCGACGGCTGATCAGACTGATCGGCTGGCGCACTCTTGCCAGTGAGTGCTGCCAGCGCTTTGTCCATGATCGTCATAGGACGTGAAGAAGGAAGGCCATTGTCATCACGAGACAAGAGGTCTCTCAACTTACGCTCAGTCAACAGCCGTTCATCGTCCCCCGGCAATCGACGATAGGGCGAGCCCGACCTGCTGATGGGCCTGCTACCCCTAGGGGAAGAGGGCACAGATGCCGCAGCAACAACCCCGTCTCGTCGGCGAAGCCTGTCGATGGCCAAAGGGACCCTAGAGCTCGACACAGCCTCGCCAGTAGTAAGCACAGGACGTGTAGGACTGGTGGACCGTGGGGTGTTGCTCCTTGAAGTCGGCCAACCAAAGCTTCCCATTGGCAACACGATTGACTGATGGATTGATGGATTGATGGATTGATGGATTGATTGATGGATTGGTAGATAGATAGATAGATTGATTGATTGATTGATTAGTGATTGGTTAGATGCAAGGAGGCAAGGGCAAGAAGTGAAACACGTGGCAGATCGAGGGGGCACACAGTCCCCCTGGTAGGAACGACAGACTCTCTGGCAGTGGCAACATGTTCCACACAGTCAACGACGATGGAATGCACTTCGAGGAGCCGATTCTCAGTCAGGTCACCAGTGGAGTACAAAAAAAGAAAAAAACACAAAGAATATATCTCAAGACTTCCGCCCTTTCTGAGGACAAATTAAAAAGAAAAAAGAAAAAAAAAGAGCAGTTTCTCAGTCAGCCAGGGTAATGCAACCACTACCATCCAGCCGGCAGCAGACTGATTGCTACGGCACACCTTAGGCTGTTATAGGTTATGGTAAACGCGTCACGAGTTCAAATCCTGGGGCGAGGTCCCACTAGCAAAGAAGGTTTGAATTGAACGCCTTAAGTTGGCCGCGTTTGTGGACAAGTGCAGAAAATCGAGATTGAACTCCTTTTCTGCATCTCCGCCTTAAACACGCCCAGATTCAGGATCTTAATCCAATCCCCGTTGCTAGTGGGACCATGCTCCTGGTGGGTGAAACAATAAAGTCACAGGCTACTGTAACCCAATTCGCAAGGAAGAAAAAGAATAAAAGAAGGTAAAATGGAACGTGGGGGCGACTGGGACCACCACACGACTGTCCCAGCCAGTTCTCAGTCAAGATCAAGATAATGGAAGTAACCATCCAGCCGGCGCCAGGCTGATTGGTACTGCTACGTTCATTCTTAGGCTGTTGAGAAAGAGAGCACAGGTTCAAATCCTGGTGGGTAATACAACAAACTTGAATAAAGTCAGAAGGTAACGGTGACTCACTTGGCAAGGACAGAGTAACAAGAGAGAAAAAGAAGGTGATGGAACGAGGGCGCCGCTGGGACAAAACGACTGTCCAATGTCATCAGAGAGCAGGCGACCATCGATCGGCCCAGAAACAACCTAAAAAGTGGCTCTCTTTTCTTTCTTTCCCTCAGCGCACACGCCCTTACGTGGCGCAGGAGGGGGCGGGGTGTGTGTGTGTGTGTGTGTGTGTGTGTGTGTGTGCGCGCCCCCGCGCGCGCGTGAGAGAGAGAGAGAGTGAGAGAGAGAGAGAGAGAGAGAGAGAGAGAGAGAGAGAATGATCTAGAAGGGAGAAACGTGACTTCTAAGTGTGAAACATCGCCTGCGCGTGTCTTTCACACTCTCAGTATCTTGTACAAAAGCTCGCGCGCAGAGAGAGAGAGAGATGTGCATAAGGGGGAAAGTGAAACTCTCCGTGCACGCACGTGTGCTTTTGCATGTGCGTGTCTATGTCGCGCGCGCGCGCGCGCGCGCGAGAGAGAGAGAGAGAGAGAGAGAGAGAGAGAGCAGCTAGCTCAGTCGAAACAACACGTCGTGCTGAGGAGTCGAAGAGACGGTAAGGGTTCCCAACTGGCCTGCGGAGATGCAAAAGACTCCAAAGAGTTCGCGAGGGAGTTGTTTCGCCGACTGCCAGTGAGGGCGTACTCGCACTGATCAGACTTCGGACAAACGCTAGACGTGATTGCAAATAATACATTCATCGAGGCCTCAGCGCAAGTGGGATACTGACCCCCCTACCGTCTTCAACTGAACACAACGCACCCTCATCATGAGTGTATACAACCGATCTTTCCAGTGTGGTCGCAGTTGTGATGAGGGTGCGTTGTGTTCGGTGGAAGACGGTAGTCCCAACACCCAATTTCTGTTTCTTGAGTGAGTACCAAGCGCAGTGTCTTCAAAACCACCTCCAACACTGCGCTTTCCGCACTTCTTGGATCGTGCGCGTAATTGCTGCAGTGTGCATGCGTCGAACTTATACCCTGAGTTGGTTGCCCCCCCCTCCCCCTCTCCTTCTCTCTCTCTCTCTCTCTCTCTCTC